CTGGTCTTGGTTTTGTTTTAGTTCTTCCGCTCTGCCTGCTTTTGTTTGGTCGGTGTGTTTTATGTATTCATGTTATTTGTTAGGCTATGAAGTACATGTGGGGAACGGTGCTGCTGCATCGGGAGTTGCCTCAAACGAGGAATGAATCAATGCGTCAAAAGAGTTAACTCGACCTGGACTAGATGCTGCTCTGCAACATCATGCATGACCGCCGTGCCTTGGCGTTTGGCGCGTGAGGTATTGTGCAGTCTCCATCTGCAACGAATGCGAGATGCACCGAGATAAGGAGGCATCCCTCCGGACACCGCATAGATAGACGGAATATCTTCTCCCTGCGTGTTTGTTAAGCCGGAAACAAGCGGGTCCGTGCGCACCTGCCTGCGTGGAACCCCAAATATTTTAAGAAAGATTTTATTCGAAGTATGCAAGAAGTGCTTTTATCATGCGGCGCTGAATGCATTTTTACGACATTGTGTGAGGTGTGAGGCCCGACCGCGTGCAAGTCGCTGCCTCTTTATCCCTGGCTCCATAATAAAATTGATCACCGTGGCGTAGTGGCACAGTGTGCAGATTAACCGAGATTGTGGACCACTGGGAGGCTCGCCTCGACAACGCGCGCCTTTGACTGGTGCTGTACTTACTTTCTTCGCACACAATCCATTAGCGCAACAAGAGAGAAAAACAAAGAGAGAGAGCGACTTTGTGTGGTGTTCTCTTTTACCACTGCTTTGTCCCGTCCACGCCTGTATGTGTATTTTCTCCGTACACGAGTCAAGACTACAGTCAGTGCGCCTCTGTCCCCCTCGGCCACTCTCTTGCAGCACCGCGTACTTGTACTTGGATTCATTCGAAAAGTGACCGCACACCACCGTTTGCTCGAGAATAAAAGTGTGTCTGGCTTCTGCAGCCATCATTAGCGCCAGTCAGTGGACGAACTCCGCACGCGTTTTCCGGAAAGATGAAAAGCATGCGTCGAATCATCGGACAGGTGGACATTCTGGTGGTCATCATCTCGTTCGCTGCTCTCGAACGAAAGGATCAGCCTGTTCGACGCGGCAATCAAGGAAGATGCACTTGGTGCTGGAACCTACAGTACCTTGATGTGTTTGTGGGGTCAAAGCGTTTTCGCGTGGTGTACGGTTAGCGAACCACGTCCGGATATACTGTATTGTGATGGTGGTGATGCGCATTCTTGTGGTACACAATCCCGATGTTATTTCTTGATGAGCCAATGGTCCGTTGGCACCGGTGCACACAGAAAATGAAAAGTAACAATTGCGATCGGACGGTGGAGATGAGCGAGGTCGTCCTCATCGCTGCACATGGATACTGTGTACTATGCTCCAGCATCATATTGTGTCTTGTGTACGATTCATTCTCGTTTTTCCCCTCATATCCTGACCTTGTTGCTTCTCTCCCTCCTCACCCCCCGAAAAAATACAATACAGCTAGTACATTACAGCTAGTACATTACAGCTAGTACATTACAGCTAGTATATTACAGTTCATGCGATTGCACCAACAAGCAGCAAACATGAAGGAACTACAGACAGCCTTCAGCTCCTTTGCTAGCTCGGTAACGACTAGGGGCACATTCACCCCCCCATCGTACCAACACCGGGGGGCTCACCTCTTTCACAAAGAATAAAGACAATTGAGTAGGTGCGACCGATAAACAGTCATGTGCCCACCAGAAATAGAAATATATATATTGGTGCACTTGAAAACGACTGGCTGGTTAAACAGCAGCAACGACAGCGTCGGAGGGCATGTTCCCTGTTCCTGTTGAACAGAACCTATCGTCGCACTTGCTTCATTGGTTTGTGTCAAGCACAACATTCAGCATAGGAATACGATGAACACACGGTTCATGGCGACTAGTCAAGCAGCCACAGCAACAACGCGAAAGAGCAACAGAGAGAGGCACACAAACATGAATCATCACGGCCACACGCATGCTGTCCGCAACACTGCCGAGTCACAGTGCTCCTTGATGCGAGCCACCGTCAACACGGCCTCGTTCCAGGCTTGTCGGGTCTTGACCACGACTCGCTTGATGCCCTCCTCTTCGCACTCAGGGTCGACCAGCCGGTTCTTGAAGTCGACCATCTCGGCCACGACCTTATTGATGTCTTGCCCTGTCTCGAAAACGGCCTGTTCGGCCTCCTCCTCGTCCTCCTGAAGGACAACAAGGGGCCAAACGCCAACAACACGCATGGAGGAGAGAGGCGCGGGTACATTAGAATTTGCGTCAGTCACCAGGTGCAAATCGTTTGGGCATGTTTGCTTGTTTGTATGGAGCAACGATTTCCTTGTTGGTTTGGACGGGGCACGCCAAAAGGAAATGCGACGACGTTCGTTCGTTGTACGTACCAAGGTGCACACGCATGTTGGTCAGTACTGCTGGCACGCACAGCCAAGCAAGAAACCCGCACTCACCAGAGCCTCCTGCTCGTACGCCTTCGCGTCCGCAAGGCGCTTCTCGCACTTCGAAACGTCGAACATGGCCTGGTTGTACTCGTTGCAGGCTCGCTGCGCGTCCATCCTCTTGTTCGCCTGTGCTGTGCGGAACAGGTTGAACGCCGAGATCATCGCCGATACCCTCACCAGCTTTTCCTCGGCCAGGGCGAGTTCGCGCGCGTCGATCGACGGCCTGGTGCCGAGGCACGGGGTCAGAGTGCCCACCTTGTCCACTATTTCCCGGTACCTGGCTTCGGCGGAGAGGTGGAGCTCTTTCGCCCGGGCCCTACCGGTCTCCAGGGCACGCTTCGCGTCTTCAGCAGACAGCACCGCCATGACGTGGGGCGGCAAGAGGTTGTCGGAGGATGCCAAGGTCTGGAGGGACGAGCTGACGTAGTCGAGGTCGCCGGCGAAGTGCCGCTCGAGCACGAGAAGATCTCTGTACCACTGCGCCCGAAGCCCGTTGGCCTTCTTCAGGCACGCCTCGTGCTTTTCCAGGAGTTTGGCCAGCTCGACGTCATCGTGCGGGGGGTAGTGGAGGAGCGATTCGCGCGAGAGGCCGTGGAGAAGGGCGTCCTTCTTAGCCTCGGCGGCGTCCGCCTGCGCCCGGGACTCGGCCAGCTTCCGCTGGACGTCGAGAGTGGTCGCACCCGCCTCTTGCACGACCTTGGCAATCTCGGCGGCGTTCGCCTTTTGCTCTTGGTCGAGTTCCGACAACCTCTGGCCGCGAGAAATAGCATCGAGAAGGTCGGAGGCGAGGATGGCCGCCCGCTTGGTAGCCTCGTGCAGCTCCCTCTCGGCGGCGTCCAAGGCAGCGCGCATCGCGATCTCGTGGTCCTGTGCGTCCTTGAGGAGAAGCTTCAGGTCTGATTCGTAGGGGGGCCTGCGGACGACCGGCACCTGATGTTTCATGGCCTTGAGCGCGGCGGGCGTAAAGCCGGTCGGGGCGAGGGTCGGCGAAGGAGCGCTGTACGTGTAGGTTGCGGAAGTGACGCCGCTGCTGGACTCCTGAATTCCAAGAACCGCAGTGTTGGGAGCGGCGGAGAACACACAGCGGATGTTTGCGCGTCATGGGGGATACAAGCTGCTATGCCATACTGCTCCATATTCTGGGTGACATGTGTGTGCAGACAGAATGACGCAGGTAGGTTCGTGTTCGCTGCAGGATGAACAACTGCTGTGCCTCAGACAGAGAGAACAACAACGCACACCCTCCCTTCCCCGTACGAGCTGTTGCGTTTGCGTTGTAGAATCTCTCAATAGCCCCCGCGGGCGGATCAAATGTACACTCAGCGGCAGCACTTTCGGTCTACAGCAGCAGGACACTACAAGAAAAATGACCCGATCACAGGGTGTCATTTCTACATGTAGTGCGTACGTACGTTCCCGGTGACCTTGTATGCGCTTGCAAGAAAAAACGGATTTGCGCACATACAACAGGTAGGTGTGGTTGTGTAGATATTGGCTGCCCGCCGGTGGGAAGGCATGATGGACCCTACAAGATGGGGAAAGTGAGGCGCACGGACGATACAAAACAGCAACAGCTCGTAGCAGGGCTACAACGAAAGACAAACTGCCTGTGTACCGAAAGCCGATGCAGAGAAAACGGTCCTCCTGAAGACGGAACCAAGGTTACCGGTATAGTCTATGGTATGATTTTGACAAAGCGAGGAGGCACAGAAGGTGAGATCGCAACATTTCGAATATCGCGCCACGCCGTATAGCCCTGTGCCGCAAGGCCTTAGGGTATGACACACTACGCACACCGCTCTCTGCCCTAATGGGGAAAAGATTCGCTCGCTTGCTGTGCTTTTGCTGCGATGCTGTGCGCCAACCGGTACCAAAACTGGATGCAGGTTCATGATCGATCGTAGTTGGTCAAGTGATGTAATCTGTACAAGCCAAGCCCAGCGCCTGGTTACACACTAGCAACACACACGGCCAACTACTTAAGTGGGGTGTCATGAAGCTCTCACCGTCCGGCGCCTCTTGGTAAACTCGCACATCTTCAGGCCCGACGAATATCCGAAGGGCGGCACGTAGTACGCCTCGGTGAGGCTGCGCTTCTTTCCCTCCGGGCGGTATCCGCTGAAGTTCTCGATGCTCTCCGTGCAGGCCATGGTTATGCTGCTGTCGTTCTTGCCTTTGGTGCTCGTGTAGATCGGGTCTGGGTGTCTGTGCAATCCCTGGTATCAAATTTGTGTGTGCACATGCAAAGGGTCTGAGATGTGAGAACAGGGGCTGCTGCTGTTGGGTGCTGTGCTCATGATCTCCCCCATCTCCCCATCCATGTCGGTTACCGCAGCAGCAGCATGCGGCACAATTTAATTGCGCCGCACTTTGACGACGCCATGATCTGTGCACGCAGTACGGGTAACCGACACAGGGAGATCATGAGCACAGCACCCAACAGCAGCAGCCCCTGTTCTCATATCTCAGACCCTTTGCCTGTGCACACACAAATTTGAAACCAGGGATTGCACAGACACCCAGACCCGATCTACACGAGCACCAAAGGCAAGAACGACAGCAGCATAACCATGGCCTGCACGGAGAGCATCGAGAACTTCAGCGGATACCGCCCGGAGGGAAAGAAGCGCAGCCTCACCGAGGCGTACTACGTGCCGCCCTTCGGATATTCGTCGGGCCTGAAGATGTGCGAGTTTACCAAGAGGCGCCGGACGGTGAGAGCTTCATGACACCCCACTTAAGTAGTTGGCCGTGTGTGTTGCTAGTGTGTAACCAGGCGCTGGGCTTGGCTTGTACAGATTACATCACTTGACCAACTACGATCGATCATGAACCTGCATCCAGTTTTGGTACCGGTTGGCGCACAGCATCGCAGCAAAAGCACAGCAAGCGAGCGAATCTTTTCCCCATTAGGGCAGAGAGCGGTGTGCGTAGTGTGTCATACCCTAAGGCCTTGCGGCACAGGGCTATACGGCGTGGCGCGATATTCGAAATGTTGCGATCTCACCTTCTGTGCCTCCTCGCTTTGTCAAAATCATACCATAGACTATACCGGTAACCTTGGTTCCGTCTTCAGGAGGACCGTTTTCTCTGCATCGGCTTTCGGTACACAGGCAGTTTGTCTTTCGTTGTAGCCCTGCTACGAGCTGTTGCTGTTTTGTATCGTCCGTGCGCCTCACTTTCCCCATCTTGTAGGGTCCATCATGCCTTCCCACCGGCGGGCAGCCAATATCTACACAACCACACCTACCTGTTGTATGTGCGCAAATCCGTTTTTTCTTGCAAGCGCATACAAGGTCACCGGGAACGTACGTACGCACTACATGTAGAAATGACACCCTGTGATCGGGTCATTTTTCTTGTAGTGTCCTGCTGCTGTAGACCGAAAGTGCTGCCGCTGAGTGTACATTTGATCCGCCCGCGGGGGCTATTGAGAGATTCTACAACGCAAACGCAACAGCTCGTACGGGGAAGGGAGGGTGTGCGTTGTTGTTCTCTCTGTCTGAGGCACAGCAGTTGTTCATCCTGCAGCGAACACGAACCTACCTGCGTCATTCTGTCTGCACACACATGTCACCCAGAATATGGAGCAGTATGGCATAGCAGCTTGTATCCCCCATGACGCGCAAACATCCGCTGTGTGTTCTCCGCCGCTCCCAACACTGCGGTTCTTGGAATTCAGGAGTCCAGCAGCGGCGTCACTTCCGCAACCTACACGTACAGCGCTCCTTCGCCGACCCTCGCCCCGACCGGCTTTACGCCCGCCGCGCTCAAGGCCATGAAACATCAGGTGCCGGTCGTCCGCAGGCCCCCCTACGAATCAGACCTGAAGCTTCTCCTCAAGGACGCACAGGACCACGAGATCGCGATGCGCGCTGCCTTGGACGCCGCCGAGAGGGAGCTGCACGAGGCTACCAAGCGGGCGGCCATCCTCGCCTCCGACCTTCTCGATGCTATTTCTCGCGGCCAGAGGTTGTCGGAACTCGACCAAGAGCAAAAGGCGAACGCCGCCGAGATTGCCAAGGTCGTGCAAGAGGCGGGTGCGACCACTCTCGACGTCCAGCGGAAGCTGGCCGAGTCCCGGGCGCAGGCGGACGCCGCCGAGGCTAAGAAGGACGCCCTTCTCCACGGCCTCTCGCGCGAATCGCTCCTCCACTGCCCCCCGCACGATGACGTCGAGCTGGCCAAACTCCTGGAAAAGCACGAGGCGTGCCTGAAGAAGGCCAACGGGCTTCGGGCGCAGTGGTACAGAGATCTTCTCGTGCTCGAGCGGCACTTCGCCGGCGACCTCGACTACGTCAGCTCGTCCCTCCAGACCTTGGCATCCTCCGACGACCTCTTGCCGCCCCACGTCATGGCGGTGCTGTCTGCCGAAGACGCGAAGCGTGCCCAGGAGACCGGTAGGGCCCGGGCGAAAGAGCTCCACCTCTCCGCCGAAGCCAGGTACCGGGAAATAGTGGACAAGGTGGGCACTCTGACCCCGTGCCTCGGCACCAGGCCGTCGATCGACGCGCGCGAACTCGCCCTGGCCGAGGAAAAGCTGGTGAGGGTATCGGCGATGATCTCGGCGTTCAACCTGTTCCGCACAGCACAGGCGAACAAGAGGATGGACGCGCAGCGAGCCTGCAACGAGTACAACCAGGCCATGTTCGACGTTTCGAAGTGCGAGAAGCGCCTTGCGGACGCGAAGGCGTACGAGCAGGAGGCTCTGGTGAGTGCGGGTTTCTTGCTTGGCTGTGCGTGCCAGCAGTACTGACCAACATGCGTGTGCACCTTGGTACGTACAACGAACGAACGTCGTCGCATTTCCTTTTGGCGTGCCCCGTCCAAACCAACAAGGAAATCGTTGCTCCATACAAACAAGCAAACATGCCCAAACGATTTGCACCTGGTGACTGACGCAAATTCTAATGTACCCGCGCCTCTCTCCTTCATGCGTGTTGTTGGCGTTTGGCCCCTTGTTGTCCTTCAGGAGGACGAGGAGGAGGCCGAACAGGCCGTTTTCGAGACAGGGCAAGACATCAATAAGGTCGTGGCCGAGATGGTCGACTTCAAGAACCGGCTGGTCGACCCTGAGTGCGAAGAGGAGGGCATCAAGCGAGTCGTGGTCAAGACCCGACAAGCCTGGAACGAGGCCGTGTTGACGGTGGCTCGCATCAAGGAGCACTGTGACTCGGCAGTGTTGCGGACAGCATGCGTGTGGCCGTGATGATTCATGTTTGTGTGCCTCTCTCTGTTGCTCTTTCGCGTTGTTGCTGTGGCTGCTTGACTAGTCGCCATGAACCGTGTGTTCATCGTATTCCTATGCTGAATGTTGTGCTTGACACAAACCAATGAAGCAAGTGCGACGATAGGTTCTGTTCAACAGGAACAGGGAACATGCCCTCCGACGCTGTCGTTGCTGCTGTTTAGCCAGCCAGTCGTTTTCAAGTGCACCAATATATATTTTTCTATTTCTGGTGGGCACATGACTGTTTATCGGTCGCACCTACTCAATTGTCGTAAGTCTTTGTGAAGGAGATGACTTCGGGTGAAGGTTCCACCTTGCGTTGTTCTATTCCCGGTCGCTGCGTTGGTAAGGTGGGCGGACCCGGACGTGCCCCTGATCGTCACCGACCTCCAGCAAAGGGCCTGATGATTTGCTGTAGTCTATCCCTCTCTGTTTCCTGCTTGTGGGATGTTTTGTACCAGTACTTTTGTTGAAGTAATGTTTTTGGGGTGTGGTGGGGTTGGGTGGCTGAACCGAGGAAATATAGTAGGGTATCACGCCGCATCAGGAAAAGGCACGACGAAGAGTGTTGCTGTTATATTGGCAACGAATTGGGGCGTTTTTAGAGGAGCGCATGTGTCTGCGAGGCGATTGTGCGATATCAATGGCGAATGACAGCGAAACATGACGGTGGTGGTGACATGTCTTTTTCGGGCGACTCATCAGGTCTTCGACGGCGACACAAAGCCCTTCTCACTTGCTCATCTCCTTTTTTCGCAGACGGTTGACTCGGGTCTATGCTACCTGAAGAAACATAATTACCTCAGCGTTGATGACAGACAACTTTTCTCTGTTTTCTACAGCATCAGAATGACAAGACACCCTCTTTATGAACATGGTTTGAAGCTACGTCCGACACTTCGCTTGCAACGTCCGACGTGTATGCACACGAGGGGCTAACATCTGATTTGATACGACCAAGTTTTGGTCGCCCCGCCCATTGGCGCTCTTCACCCGGTGACTTCGCAACCTTGAAACGCGTGAGACGTACATGAGTTCGAATGTAGGACGCAGTTAGACGATGTGTGCTACGTGTATTTCTTCCTTTTATTTGGACCATCCATGCCCAGGCACAAAACATAGTCTACGTTTGTTTATTGTACTCTACTCGTGGTTGGGTACAGTAACTTCCAAGTCCCGGCCGGCGAGGGAACGACGCGTGGCGCTATCCCTCTCGTTCGCCCCCAAAATGAAGGCAAAATCACCGCAGAAGAGACTCACCAAAAAATAATGGCGTCGCCCTCCCCTCGTCTCTGCAATCCAGGCTTGCACGGGAAGCCACATGTAGCTCCTTTTGCGACGACGATCGGAGAGATCGGGCGAGTACGAGCAAGTAGAGATTCAACATTGTGGTTCGCATCCCAACTGGCTACAACATCTTGACAGTGTAGTCGCACCAGAAGGGCCCGCTTTTCTACCCTCTTTCCTTCCTAGTCCTAGCCTTCGTTTCTCATTTTTTCTTTGGTCACGAAAACACAACGAATTCTTCTCTTGTCTACACTAAAAAGAGTCCGGGAAAAAAAGTAGTAGCGATGAATCAATCCAAGCGTTAGCGGGTCTTCTTCCAAGGGTAAAAGCACGTCCGTTTTCATTGCACACCCCTTCATTCGCGAAGATGCAGGGTTTGAAGATGGAGGCAAGACCGACAGCACGCATGGACGGGACCACCGTAGACGAAAACTTTTTGGAATGAAGAATACGCGATGATCAGGGCCTACAGCGGTCGTACCACAAACCAGTCGGTCATTTACGTCAAGTCCGCATGCGACTTGGGTTATCTACCTCCCGAGGTCAATGGCGGGCACAAAAGCATGGTACGGACGTGCTGCCGAAGGTGCGTGCTCGGAGAAGAGAACGGCATCCCGGAAAAAGTATTCTTGCCCCTAATTGTACCAGACCAGATATCGACGCGCGTTGTTGCAACAATCTTTCAACCCTCCAAGGGCGCTCCTGTTCTTTTGGTCCCGCCGTCCATGACCCCTCACCCCGCCCGCACTCTGAGTTCATACCCAAGACTCCCTCCTGAGACCCCCGTTTTCAGGTGGGCAAGCTTCTCCTCTCCTCTGTGTTCCACCTTTTTCCTCGAGATGACATGAAACGAACGCCGTTCACAAAACCTCCCGGAATACTCGAAAAGAACAACGAACAAAAAGAAAATCAAGTTCAGACGAAGGAAGCAAACCCTACAGAAGACTTCCACCTCCAACGCCGACGATTGCAGAGCCCGCACCACCTCCAACAGAATATGGGCACTCGGCGACACACACGTTTTGCTCCTCCGCCCGCTAAATCTGGTGCGCTACCTCAATCACCGTCACAAACGACAACGATCAAGTGTGACACCTACAACAGGCATCGCGCCCCCTTTTCCGAGAAACGATCGGCTCTTGTCCAGCATCCCTCCGTCCTCTCGAGGATGCGTGGTCTGTCTTCTAACCGCCTAGGCATAAAAAAACATTGAGAATACCCCCCCCTCCACCGAAATCGAGCGGCTTGGGGGCACCCGCCCTTAGCATTTGGCTACGGACTCCCTCCAGCGCCCCCAGCACAACATGTGGTCCACCACCACCATCACCCCTCATTCCAAAACAAAACCGCATCATCCCACGTCATCTAAGGGACAAACGCGGAACACAGTTCTCGGTCAGTATCTCAAGCCCGCGCCAATCGCGCCAGCGTTAGCCGCAGATGCTCTGGCGGCCTTCGCGCTGGCCACCACCATATCCCACAGGTGCGCCACTCCCTTCTCGTCCATCACTTTTCGGGCAGTTTCGGGCGACTTGCACTCCTGGGGGTCATCCAGATATAACAGGGGGGGCGGGGGGGGGTGCACAGCAGTGGGCTAAAAGGGCATCGAGGGGGAGGAAGGGGGTCGCATGCAAATTGCCTGACGCTGCTTTGGATGCATGCAGGCGCGTTGGCCTCGTTCATAACACCGCTTTGTCTGTTGTAGACTTCACTTGTGCCCCTCATGACCATCTTTTTTGTTGAGCTGTTTGCCCAACTAACGACTGAAGAGAGTCGGTCATTCGGCAGCCGAAGGGAAACCGCCACCTTCGATTCAAACGTCGAAAAGGACGGCCCGCATCAGAAACGATTTCGTAGACAACGACCTCCGTTCGCTCGTGGCCGGAGTAGGTGCAGTACGCAATCCCGCCCATGGTCCAATATAGTCATTCATGACTCGAAAATCCAACATATGATTGGCGAAGGGGATGGCGAGTCCTATCATACCCAAAATGCGACTCCGGCGTCGTTCATGTATCGAGTCCGCAACACCGCCGTGGCACAAAAAAAAAAGGGGGCGGGATGCACATGTAACCGAGGGTATTCGTCATCGCGTACCAAGAGAGCAGCAGCACGCACCCCCTTCTACGCCTGCAAGATAAATCTGACGTCGTGCGACGTGCGGGGATAGAGAACTGCACCTTTGCGTTGATGGTGTCGTTGCCGTGGGCGTGAGGCCGTCTCCCCCTCTCCCGAAAAAAAAAAAAAAAACAGACTCGTGGAACAGGTTTCCTTGAGGAACGGTCTAGGGGTTGACAGCAACCAGTCGTTGTGTTTCGATGTCGCCGGACGTTTCCGAACAACCACGAGCGTAAACTTGCCGCAAAGAAAAAGCATTGCCGCTTAGACGCACCACCCGGGTAGGTTTTTGGCAGGCTGCCCTACTGCTGCTCCCAACTCCACGCACCTGGCTCCCGATCAAGCAAGGCAGTAGAAAACGCGGCCGGCACAAGCACAGAACATGCTGCAAAGCATGAAGCAATGTCCCCAGACATACGAAGCAGACTGACTAGCTGCGCTATTGCTACCCCCCTCACGGCAGTTCGTGCTTGGTAAGATGAGAGCCTGGTCCGGTGAGAACCCGGCGTGCTCTGTCCCGGCTTTGTAGGGATACGATGTCAATGGTCTAACGACCACGGCGTGCACCACCATGAGTACCCCCCCCCCCCCCCCCCCCCCCCCCCCCCCCCCCCCCCCCCCCCCCCCCCCCCCCCCCCCCCCCCCCCCCCC